GCGGGGGAAAGGGCGGACCCAGCTCTCGCTCCTGCCTCGGGCCCTGCAGCGCCCAAGCACCATGGCTGCCCAGGCTGAGAATGGACCTTCCCCTCCACCAGCTGTCACCACCTCAGCAGCCAATGAGGTGCCCAAGATGTCCAATGCTGACTTTGCCAAGTTGCTCCTGAAAAAGTGAACAGGACTTGGGTAGAGGAGGGAAATGCCTTACTTACTTCGTGCTAGCCAGGAGCTTGCCGGTCACCCAGCACCTGCCGGACCTCGGAGGCCCTCACCACCTCACCACAGGGCTGGGACCGGGCCTGCACACTGTCCTCTGCTTAGACAGAAAGGGGGAGGGGTGTTCCAAGGAAAGGGGCTTCACATGCTCCCTCATATTGAGGGCAACGTGAGAATGGTCACTCCTTGCCAGTGTGGGCACAGGGTATAGTTTCTGACGCTATTTTTGTCTCCTAAAGTGAAACTCCGAAGTGAAACCTGAACACAGCCTTGAGACTTCCTGTCCCAGTGTTCCAGTCTACTCCTAGCCCCTGACAGGATGCTTTCTTCTGCCCTGCATAGCATACGCGCCCATCATTCTCTTTAATTTTTAAAAGACAACATGGCAAATGCTAGTGGTTCACCAGGATGGCTTAATTTAGTAAAGGGCCGGGGACAAGGGAGGTCACATACACAGTGATGCTTCCTTGTGTTCCAATGGGCTGTGTGTTTCTGTATTACAGATTTGTAAATGACTCCTCACCGCATTGTTTGTTACTTGCAAAACTTTGGCTACAGTTTATCTAAGAATTCTGTGTGCCACCTGCTGTGGACCATTTTTTTTTTTTTTGCCTAGTGATGAGTGAATTGTGGGGTTTTTTTGTCTCAACATTGAGTTCCAGCCCTGCGTTTCTGTTTACATCACACCATGCCCAGTGCAGAGTTCAGTTCTCCCCATCTAGCTTTGTTATGAACAGTTCTCCTCCCGACTTCTGCCCGGTGGTACAGATGCTCCTTCCCCTGTGGCTGTGCTTCCCCTACAATATGTGTAAATAGAAATTTTTTTTGTAAATCAAGCTTGTTGTCTCTTTATTTCGGTTGCAGTTTGTCTTCAGTTTTAAACTTTTTAGTTGGGCAAGTTTTGACACTTGAATTTGAAAGCTTTTTTTTACCCTTTTATCAGCTGCTTTCTGCTTTGAGAGCAGCACTTGTGTTGACAAGGGGAAACTTGATAAAGTTGCTTCGAGGGGATTAATTCCAAGAAGCATTGCATGCACCATGGAAGTCAACTCCTGATTTATCTGTTGTGTAGCTGAAGCTTTGGTGGTGTGGTGGTAAGGAGTTGTGCTACCAACCCAAAGGTGCGAGGTTCGAAAACACCAGCTGCTCTCTGAGAGAAAGATGGACAATTTACTGTGAGATTTATAACTTCTGAAAAACCTACTGGGTCAGCTATGTGTGAGTTCCAACTTGATGGCACACAAAACATCAATCAGATTTGGGTGGGTTGTAGTCCCCAAAACCCTTAAACTTTTTCATAGAATATTCTAAACAGATGCAGATGTAGACAGAATAGTGTAATGGACTGGGCTCATGGAAGGTCAGCATTTCTCAGCTGTAGGGCACCTTGCGCCAACTTCTGCCTCCTCTAGAGCCCTCCTTCCCCATGTTATATTGAGGCAAGTCCCAGACATCATAGCACTTAGCCATAAATAGTTTTAGCAGGTATTTATAAAAGATTAGAACTCACGTGACCCTAGAAACATTAATACCATAATATCCCCAGCTCTATTGGTCAGATGTCCAGTTTTCTGTTGTCTCAAATGTCAGTTTGAGACAACAGAGACTCCCTATTAAAATGAGTGGTTGTCAAGCCACTTTTGTCAAGTCTTTTGATCTGCAGGGCTGTCTCCTACTCAGTCCCTGTTTTCTCCCCCTGTAGTGTACTTACTGAATTTTGGGACAGCTCAGAAGAGCTTGTGCAAATGCTGACTTCCTTCATGCTCCCATCCCTGCTGACATCTGTGGAGATGGTGGCTGTCTGGGCTGGGGGCTCTTGGTCAGCCCTGGTGGCCTGATCTGGACAAGTTGAAGACCGTGTTGTCTTTGTTAGTACAGGTGGATATGTGTCACGTTTAACTGCTTTGTCCTCACCGTGACTTCATACTCTCAGATTTAAACACAAACTCACTCTAGGGCTGAGCTTCCTCTGAGTGGGACCCAACTGAGGCTCGAGACGTTGATGGTTTGGAAATGAAGTTTCAGGAGGCATAGTGTGTGTTCTCCAGAAAATCAATTATCGATAGTAAATAGGAGCTTCAAAAAACATTCTGTTGTTAGTGAAAAGTAAGATGATCACCGTGAATTAGAATTAAGTTTGATGTTAGGTGGGTTTGGAGTTCTGTCAACATTGACAGGCCCCTTATTCAGTGAGTCCTGCCACATTTTCCTATTAAAAGTAGGAAATACTGAAAACAGAAAAATAGGTCTGACCCTTTCCTGGGAAAATGCAAAGGATCATGGCTTAGGTTCTTAAATGCTCCCTCCTTCATGGCAAGAAGCTGCCAACTTAAAGGCAGAAGGTGTGAATCCACTAGCTACTCCTTGAGAGAAAGGGGCAATCTGATTGACAGCCTCTGAAAACCAGCTGGAGGGGCAGCTCTGAGCTTCTGCCAAGTGGGAACACTACAGCAAAGTCCCAGATATTTTCGTAACAAAATACTTTTATTAGAATCAGCTATTTGTTAAAATAACATCTTCCACATAAAGCTAAAGTGCACATTTCTCTCACGTTACAGTACAAAGCAAGCCCATCCTCAGTTTCCATGTGCTTCTGAAAACCAAGACCCAAGAGGAGTTAAGATTTAGAACTGCCTTGGGGCAGCAGTCAACGAGGAAAACATTTCTTTGTAAAGGTCTGAGTACCTTCTCACCCAGGGTCATTTTGTACATCTTAACACTTTCAGAAAACTGCCAATTACATAACTGGATGTGGTGGCAACAGGCTACATCTGAGCGGTGCCCACCCTTTCACTTTGGAATCTCAGCACTGCTGTGTGTTGGTGCACCCCCCACCCCCCCCTGAGTTTAGCAAAGTAACAGTGTTAAAACATCACTGGTCCTGCTGCTGGACAAGAAAGCCAGTGACTGCCAGCCCGGCTGAGTCTTAACATAGCAGCGGTTGTACTGGGACTTGTGCCATATAGGATTAAAGAAGATTCTTCCTACAGTCGTACAGTGACAACTCAACTTGGCTGCATTGCATGTAACATGTCAGCATTTTACAAGGTGCTAGAAAAATAAGGCCACTTGGGGACAGTCTCTTCTGCCTCCCCAGAAAGGTTGGATGGGACAGGGTAGGTGGGGGTAGCAGTAGACCATTGAAGGGATAAAGCTGCAGGACAGAGGACAAGGCCTAGCTGTGGTGGCAGGTTTTCAACTGGTTCACTTGAAGCTGGTGCTCACATTATCAAAACTGTTTACTAGGTGTTGATGGGGCATCTGTGTTAACATCACCCGTGGAACACTCACAGCACTCTGGTGGTGCAGTGCATGACGTGTTGGACTGCTAACCCAAAGATCAGGTTTGAATCTGCTAGCTGCTCCGAGGGACAAAAGGTAGATGGCTGCTTCCCACCATATTTTACAGGCTCTGAAACCCGATGGTGCGTCACCAGGAGCTGAAATTAACCCAAAGGCAGTGGGTTGAGTTTGGTTTGGATAGAAAACAGTTCTGTCAACCTGCATCATAACTTGGCTTGTGGGTTGAGCTGAACTGAGCTGTTGAGTGACAAACTCTGGTTAACTTTCAGCCCAAGGGAAGCATCAGGTCCAAGTTGCATGTGAAGTGAAAGGAACACTGATGCGTCACAAAAATCCCACTGGCCACCTCTGTTCTTCATTAGAAGAATCCTGAAGTGGATAAAGAACTGCCTTTGGCTTTGAAGTAATTTATGGCTCAAAAGGCTTTGTGGAAAACAAAACAAAACACTGCCAACGTTTTATTTTCCCTTTGCTCTGCTGATAAAGATTAGTTCTCCAGACTCCTCTTTGCAGGGAGCAAAAACCTTTTAACACGTTGCCGCAAATGATGGCAAATGTGTTTCTAAGCACCGTTCTCAATTTAAACACTGTGCGGCAAGGTGTTAAGAAGGCAAACTTTCTGTCAAAACTCCAAACCAGGACCTATTTCTTCCCAGGAGTACAGGTTTCCCTGGGCCTCCCCCACAGCCCTGGTCTCCCTGCCAACCTTAGTGCAAATTCTGCTCCAGGACCTGGAATTCTGGTCACAGGGGCATTTCTGCCCCCAAGGCCCGCCACTAGCTTGCATCCAGGGAGGGAAATAAATAAATGGGTTGGATTATATTTCATCCTGGAGACAAGCCTCAAAAATTTAGTTTTTTAAACTCAAGGATGTTTGGCGGGAAAGAATATCTTAGGTCCCCTTTTTTTTTGTAGGGAAGACGATGACGTAGAAACGTCGTTTGGTTGCCTTTCCTCGGAGGACCGACAATAGTCAGGGCTTCACCAGCAGGGTCTCCTTGAACCCAGAGTGGTTGGGCTTGGCCTCGGGTAGCGCCACTGGGTACTCGGTTGTGGCCAGAAGCAGGGTATCAAGGGTGGTCTCCGTGCACTTGGCAATGAAGCGGATGAAGGGTCGTACGTCGCCCTCATTGGCCACTTCCAGCACGTGGTAATACTCGGACCGCTGCTCTTTGCGGATGGTGATGGGCGGGTAGCCGGCCTGCATGAGGATGAGGTTCATGAGCAGGCGGGAGGTCCGCCCGTTGCCGTCGATGAACGGGTGGATGTATACCAGTTTGTAGTGCGCCAGGGCGGCGAACTCCACTGGGTGGAGACCCATGGCCTCCTCGGAGTTGAGCCACTGGATGAATTCCTCCATCTGCTTCTCCACCTCCCGAGGGTGCGGAGGGACGTGGTGGCCCACGAGGACCTGGGTGGTGCGGAAGCGGCCGGCCTCCACCGGGTCCACGTAGCCCAGCACACGCCTGTGCATCTCCAACACGTCGCTGGTGGTGACGGAGCCGATGCGGGACAGCAGCGTGGTGTTGACGTACTTCATGGCGGCGTGCATGCCCAGGACCTCGTTCTGCTCCTCCAGGCTCTTCCCCGGCACGGCGTAGCGGGTCTCCAGGATGTGCCGGATCTCTGACAGCGTCAGGGTGTTGCCCTCGATGGCCACCGTGTGGTAGATGTGATGGTAGTACGTCTCCTCCATGACCCGCCGCAGCGCTGAGCTGCCCTTGGGGATGGACATGACCTTCTTCACTTTGCTGTCAATGATGCTGAAGTACCTCTGGTCAATCTCCTCCACCAGCGGCAGGGTCCGGTCGCGGTTGACCAGCGCCTTCTCGTTGTAGGGTGAGATGGTCAGGGCCCTTGTGTACAGGTAGTCCGCCTGGATGATGTCCTTGTCTTCTTCGGAGAAGATGCCGAACTCATTGAGCGCGTCCACGAAGGCCGGGTCCATCTTGAGGGCGTGGAGGAAGAGCTTATGGGCTTTGCCCCGCTTGCCCTGGCGCTTCATCTCCAGGGCCTGATTCAGGGCTGCCCGTGCTTCCAGCTTCCCGGCTGCAAGATAGAACCAGAGAAGTCCCATCATGGGGCAGCCGCACCCGCTGGCCTCTGGGAGAGGGAGACTTAGGGCTGACTAGATTGAGGCCTGAGCTCAGGGAGTCTGTGCTATGCTAAGTGCCTTTAATATACCTTGTATCACCCCGTTAGATGCTGCAGATTCTGACTGAGCCACCCCGTGTGACAGAAAAGAACTCCCTCATGGACTGTTCTCGGCTGTAACATTTACAAGGGAGCACCAGCAAGTCTTTTTTTCTGCAAAGCACTGTGGGTCGGCTCACCTTCTGGGCAGCCATGCACTTAACTGATGGGTCACCAGGGTTCCTCGGTACCAATCCACCCATGAAAGTATTTACTTCTGTGGACCTAAGGGTGGCCGTTTAGTCCCCCAGTGCCCCAACTTTGCTGTGCCACATGGGTGGGCGGCCACGTCTCTGGCTACAGTGTCTGCCTGCCTGCCCTCTCCTGCGACACCTCCAGTTCTCCGGATGCTGGTCCCTCCCCCGCCCTGCTTCACCATCCCCCTCTGTGCCTAGCAATTTCCCTTTAATTAATTGCTAATAAATAAGATAATTTATTAAAATCCCCTTAGGTCATTCTGCTCCTTTAATCCTTTAACCGAGCAGCTGTCTCCTGAGGGGTGATGGTGCCTCCCAGGGTGGTGGGGACACCATGAAACTTCTGGAGGTTTCCTTTTTGGGGAGTGCTAATGGCATCTAGTGGATAGAGAGGTCAGGGATGCTGCTGGACACACTACAGTGTGCAGATCAGTCCCTTGGGACTGAATATCGTTGTTACATGCAGTCAAGTAGGAACTGATTCAGAGCTGACCTTCCAGTGGGCTTTCAGAGACTGTAAATCACACGGGAGAGACTGGCAATCTTTCTCCTGTGGGGCAGCTGGCAGATTCGGACCACCTGCCTGTGGGTGGGCAGCACTGCTCCTTACCACGAGGCCACTCGATCCTGAGGACCAAATGAGCAGGCCCTAGCTCCCTAGGACCAGATGTTCTAGGTTAAGTTATACAAGGTACCACTGAGTTGGAACAGACCCAGCAGGTTTTCGGAGGCGGCAAATGCCATGGGAAGGAGGCCCCATCTTTCTCCGGTAGAGTAGCTGGTAGATTTAAACCATATGCCCTCAGCTGGCAGCGCAGCTCCTTACCACGAGGCCACTCGATCCTGAGGACCAAATGCGCAGGCCCTAAATGTCCACAGGGCCCAGGTTAAGAAGCCTTAATTTTGATCTAGCCCTGCCTGCCTCCCCAGCCCCACTCTGACCACTTCTCCCAGTAGTTCAGCTGCATGTATCCACTTTCTTTTAGTTCCTCATAAGCTGCAGGCTCTCGCTTACCCACTGTCTCCCCAGAATGCCCTTCCCTCATGCTCATTTCTGTTTACAATTGAGCAAGGTCTCAGCTCAGACACTCCTTCCTCCAGGAAGCCTTCCAGGCATGCTCCCTTAACTGCTTCCCTCAGGCAATGATGTGTCACAGCTACCTGTCTGCTGGTCTGGCCTCAGGTGCCCTCACACAGGAGTGCTTGCACTATGCTGAGCTGCTGAGTGCCAAGGAGTTAGGCATCACCTTACCTGGAGAGGCTTTGGTCTTGACCATCAGAAGCCCAGCGTCCTTGGAGGTGACACTGAGTTCTGTGGAAGGGCTGGTGCACTTGGTGACGGCGTGCTGCACCCTGTCTAGTCTGCTCCGGAGCAGGTAGAAGCCCTTGAGCACAGCCAAACACTGCTCTTCCATGGCCCCCAGCGGCAGCAGCAAGGCCAGCAGGGACCCAAGTGCCATGCTCAGCAGCGTCACCCACAGGAAGCGGCCGCCAAAGGAAGCCCACTTGGGCTCGGTCACCACCATCATGGAAGCCATCGGTACGAGCATCATCTGGGCTCAAGGAAGGGATCTGTGCACATGTCCACCATTGGCAGAGATGCAGCAGAGTCTGGAAGGCAAACCAGGTTAGAGGACACCAGGCAGGGGGAGAAGGGACACACCCAGGACACCTGGGTCACCTCCGCTGGAGAAGGGCCTGGAGCCATCCCTGCCTTTGTATTTTGTGGAGAATGCTGTTCGGTGCTGTCGAGTTGGAACCCAGCCCTGTCCCGCACCGTCCTCACCGTCTCTGACAAGCTCCAGCCCCCGGTTACAGTCACCATGTCAATCCACCTTCATGAGGGTCTGCTTCTCCTCGCCCTCTGCTTTCCCAGCCCGGTCTCTTTTTCCAAGGACGACATGCCCAAAGTATGTGAGATGAGGCTTAACCATCTTTTTCATGTGCCATTGACTCTGAACCGACTCCCGGCTGACCCTCTGGTGAGTGTTCATAAGCTCTAAGTCACACGGAAGGAGATGGCCCGTCTTTCTCCCTCAGAGTAACTGGGAGGTTCAAACTGCCTGCCTTTGATTTGGTAACACAGCTCCTTACTATTGTGCACCTCTCACCATCCTTCAAGCAGAATATATACCAATTCAACAGTCTCTCCACGTACACTTCAGTGACATGGATTAAATGCAGCAATTTGAGCAATCATTCGCATTCTCCTTTTCTGAGATATTCCTGCCCCATCAACAGGAACAAAATGCCCCTCAAGGTTCCTATCTAACCTTTCAAGTTGCTATTGGTACTAGATTCTATGTAGGTAACTCAAACGCACTGCTATCCATTTCAACTCACAGCTGACACTCCAGCAGGTTGTTCCAATCTACAAAAGCACGCAGAATGGGACTGTCCACCTTTCTCCTGTGGAGAGCCAGCAAGATCCAAACCACTAAGGAGGTGTAGTCTCTGTCAGCAGCACATCTCCTTGTTGCCTGGGCCACCAGAACTCCATATGGAGATGTTACTGGGACTGACTCATAGCTGATCCACTGGTAGGTTTTCAGAGTCTGTAAACTGCATGTGAGAATGTAGAGTTTTCTCCCAAGGAGCGGCTGGTGGATTCAAACTGAAAGTTTTTGGGTTGGCAGCATAACTCCTTAACCATTAGGCCACCAGCATTCCCCTCATATAGCTAGTTCTTACAAAAAGCATAATGCTCAAGGCAGGCATTGTTTTACTGGGTGAGTCAAACTACTATTTGGTTTTAAGAAGGCTTCAAAGGGACATTTTTGGTCCAATGAGCTATTTCAAAGATCATTTCCAGGCAACAGTTCAGAGGCTCAAGCCAGCCTGAATTCAGAAAGCCTACTGTCTATGAGAAAAATTCTGTTCTGCATTCTCCTCTCCTTTTTCTTAAAAAAAAAAATTCCTCCCCTTTTGATCAGGATTCTCCTATAGAGTCTTTGTTCAAAACATTCAGTAACGGTAGCTGGGTACTATCTAGTTCTTCTGGCCTCAGAGCAAAGGAAGAACTCTTAACTCACTGGAGAGACTAGGATCATGGATCACAGGTGAGGTAAGGCTAGGAGCATGTAGAGCCTGGCAGAACTTGTGCTGCATCCAGGGTGGTGACTATATACAAATGAATGTCACTGCCAAGATCAATCTGCCTATCTACAGCATTTATCGTGTGCCAGGCCCTGAGCACTTTCAGCATACCATCTCCTACAGATTTCAGTGAACCTCACCCCAATCTCCAGAATAAGAAAACAGAGCCTCAGAGGGGTCATGTCCTTGTTTAAAGTCAACCAGTGACTTAGTGCCTGACAGATCTAAGATGTAAAACTCACAAAGTCTCTTCCTTTTCAAGTTTCTGTGGTGTCTGACCCTAAACACTGAATGCTGGGAACACAAATTAAAAATAAACACACACACCCCCAGCCCGGCCATGGCATTCTGAGGAAATAATCCTATTGGGGGCCTAATTTATATAGCCATAGCTAGGGATTGCCTTCTTCCTCCTCCTCCTGACAGCCATATGCCCATAACACTGCCCCCAACTCTGGGCTTCTTTCCCCGCCTGTACAGGATGGAGGTGGGGGAACCGCTTGCCTAGAAGTTGGGTAGTCTCAAAAAGAACTCGGGCTGTGGGTTTGGGTGGGTGACTGCCTGGTTTCAGTGACAAAGGGCACGTGGCTGGAGCTACTAGTGACAGTGGGGGGGGGGGGCAGGTATGCAACCACCAGTAGGCTAACAATAAACATTTATTGGACAACTATGGTGTGCTGAGCACTGAGCTAAGGGCTAAGAGACACATAACCTCAGTCCTCACCCTGGCCCCCTGACAGAGTAACTAACTTGAAAGGTTGGCTGTTTGAATCCATCAGCTGCTCAAGGGCTAACAAGACCCAGGAGACTCCAGGAGGCAAATATGGCTCTCTCTCCACTTTGTGTTGGACTCAAAGTTGGAATGGCCAGCGCCCAGCAACCACTACCACCACCCTCTTTTTAGGGGCTGTGGATTCTGACCTCCTGGTGCTCCCTGTGCAGAGCAGAACTGGGCACCACAGAGGTTTCAAGGCTGTGACTTTTCTGACCGCCAAACCTTTCTTCCGTGGAGCTGACAGGCTCAAACCACCAACCCGGTTGCTCAGTAACCCAGCCCTTAACAGTGTGTGCCACCCTGGGCCTCCTGCCGAAGACCCTGTAGCCCCGTTTACAGAGGAGGAACATTAAGACACACGAGAAGGTAAGTCCTCCCCTGAAGTGCCCCCGGAACGAAAGCTCAGACGGTCCAGGAGAACCTGTTCTGGGCTGACCTCGAAAGGACTGATTAGGGCTTGGAAGCCAGTCGTTCACAGACGGCCTGAAAAGGCTTGGGAAGCGCCCTAACTGGGGTCCTCTAGCAGGGGGGAGCATGGCAGAGGGCGGGACTACTTCTGCCGGGGCATCTGGGGGTGCTTCTTGAGCGAGAATGGCTTCTTGAGCCATTATGTGTTTGTCAGTGACAGAGGGGTGTGCACGGGCGCCGGTACGTGATCCACACCTCCTACGGGGAAACTGAGGCTCGGAGAAGGGACTGAAGGCACCAGCATAGCTGACCCTTTCCGGCCACCATCTAGGGCTCGCTGAACCCCGCAGGTGCGCCCTCCCCGGCTCGCTCCTCCCAAGCCCTTCGGGGATGCCCACTCCTCACCGCGCGCAGCAGCCCGGCCCTCCCAGTGCCTTCCCCGCTCTTGCCAGATCCGCAGCCGCCAGCAGCCGGTACTTCTGCCACAGTCGACCCTCTGGTCCCGCCTCCAGAGGCTCGCCATTGGCCGGTTTATCACGCACGTAACGACGGATTGGCTTGTCTCGCTTGTTCATCCCTCGCATTTCCGGGTTCCCGTTGAGGTCGACTCTCGCCGAGCAAGACGCGCCGTGGGCCACTCCCATTGGCTGGCTCTTGTGCAGATCTCCCAGCGGCAGCCAATAAACAACGGAAGGGGCGGGGCCTGGATTACCCGCCAGAGCAGCAGGTGCCGGTCTGTGGCGCGCTACCCTTGCTCTTGTAGCTTGATTTCCTCACTCAGGACAGTCTCCTAAGTTCACAGCTTCTGATCCTCAATTTTTTATTGCCACCTCCTTCATAAAGCCTGCCAATTCTCTTTTGTTCCCGAAGAGAGAGATAGTAGCTGGAAGCAAGAGCTGAAACTTTCATCTTAATTCCCAAACTGTGAAAGGGAGCTCCCAAGAGCGTGTCCTGTTGTTAGGAGCCGTGGAGTATGGTTACAGCTCATCGCGACTCTATGAACAACAGATCGGAGCTCTGTCCTATCCTGTGCCATCCTCACAAATCTTTAACACACTCAAGGCCTTTGCGGCTGTCACTGTTAACCTTTAAAATGTTCACTTGCTAGAGTCAGGGAGGTCTGGATTCACATTCAAGCCTCAACATTGTTTTGTCTAGCCACCTTGAGCAAGTTTCTCAGAGCCTTTTGGCCCATCTGTAAAACGGGACCAACAGTCCACTTCACCTTTGCCTCCAATTTTGGGACTTGCAGAAAAGCCTGCTGTCTCAGGGGTCCTTGATGATACCGGTGCCCCTTGGGAGGCTGCACAAGACAGTGTCTGTGTCACCATTGGAGCCACACAGCCTTCCTTGCAAGACACAACAAAGCAACAGTAATTTTTCTTATAGATTGAAGCTAACATTTCTTTAAATAATATTTTAAAAGAAAATGCTTTTTAAATTTAGAAGGACAATTGAAAGAAATCTTGTTAGGCACAAATCCTTCATCTTAGCCTAGGAGGACGATCGAAACCATCCTCCGTATTTAGCTGGAATACTTTGCTGATGTTCGCCTCATCACCCTGCATCTATAGCTGAGTTCCACACCCTCTTCAAAATATGATAAATAAGACCTGTCATCGCATTGCACTGGGCAAGTCAGCTGCCAGAACACTTAATTACGTTTATACAAAACTTTTACATAGACCAAAAAGCTGTTCTCTGACCAGAGCAAGGGAACAATGCATGTTTTAAAATCAAAGAGGTGTGTGTCAAGTTTGTGTCCTTTCTTTATACCTACTTAATTTGCATGCTGAGAAAATCATTAGAGAAGCTCGACTCTATGAAGAAGAATGTGGCATCAGGATGGAAAAAAAGACTCATCAACAGTCTTTGTTGATGCAGATGACACAGACATGCTTGCTGAAAGTGAGGAGGACTTGAAGCACTTGCTGCAGAAGATCAAAATCATCAATATGAACTACATCTCAATATCAAGAAAACAAAAATCTTCACCACTGGACCAGTAGACAACATTAAAATAGATGGGGAAAAGATTGAAATTGTCATTGATTTCATCTTGTTTCCACAATCATCATCTTCGATAGCAGGAGTGAGGAGATGTATAGTATTGGGAAATTTTTTTAAAAAAAATTTTAAAATGAAACATTTTTACCAAACCTTACAGTTCAACATTTACCAAACATGCAATCAAGATGCGTTAATGATGGGGAGGGGAGAGGAAAAAAGAGATGTGTTGATGATAATTGGTGACTGGAGTGCAAAAGTTGGAAACAATGAAGAAGAAATACAGTCAGAAAATGTGGGCAGAATTTCTCTGCCAGAAATGAGGCTGGAAATAGAATGATTGAATTTTGTATTTTCAATGATTTATTCATACAATATACCTTGTCAAAAAACAGTGATTTTACACATGGACCCCACCTAATGGACTGCATAGGAATGAGATTGGCCACATCTGTGTAAGAAATCGCTGGATAAGCTCAATATCAGCAGTCAAAACTAGGACGGGGTGGACTGTGGGTCAGACCATCAATTACTCATGTGCAAGTTCAAACTGAGGCTTAAGAAAATGAAAACGAGTCCATGAGAACCGAAGTATGATCTTGAATCTATTCCATCTGAATTTCTTGAATCTATTCCATCTGAATTTCAAAATCATGTTTTTAAAAAGGAATACGTTTAAAGCATTGAACACTAATAATTGAACACTAGATGAGTTTAGGGATGATATCAAAGGTATTATCCAAAAGGTATTATCCATGAAGGAGCAAAAGGTCATTACAAAGAGGAGCAAGGAAAAGCAAAAAGGATGTCAGAAGAGACTCTGAAAATTGCACTAGAGTGTCAAGAAGCCAAAACAAAGGGAAAACAAGCTGAAATAAAAGACCTAAAACAGAAAGTTTCAAAGGGAAGCTCTAGAAGACAAAGTATTATAATGGAGTGCGCAGAGAGCTGGAATTGGAGAATAAAAAGGGGAGGACTCTGCATTTCTCAAGCTGAGAGAATGAAAAAATAAACTTAAGCCTCAAGTCACAATAGTAAGATGCTACAAGGCCAGGTGCTGATTGTGGAACAGATCATCAAGTACTCATACACAAGTTCAAACTGAAGCTAAAGAAAATAAAATCCAATCCACAAGAATCTTAAATCCATCCCTCCTAGGAAGTAGCTAAGAGAATACGCCATCCCCTTTTCCTTATGAATCAGGTTGAAGTATCTCTCAGGGAGGAGTGATAGGGAATGGCAAAGGACACACTGACAAAGGAGATTAATCAGAACTGGCTTTGACAAGCACTGTGGCAATTGGACAATTAA